AAAAAAGGGGCTCGCAGTGAGTGTGGTAACCACAGAGGGATCAGCTTGATCGCGGCCGTAACGAGACTGTTGGCGTCAATTGTGCTTCGTCGCCTTACGGTGGCTCGTGAGACACTGACTAGAGAGCAGCAAGCGGGATTCCGGTCTGGTAGGGATTGCGTTGTCTAAATCTTCACACTTCGTAGGGTGCTAGGGCAACGTATAAGCGACCCGCAATTCTAGTGTTCCTGGATTTCTAAGGCGCATCTGACTCGGTTGAGCGGTCTGCTCTGCTTGACATGTTTGCCCACCAAAGGATGCTCCGGAAGTTCGTGAACATAATAAGCTTTTTGTATTCCCAGACTCCCGGACGTGTGAGTATTCGGCGAGCTTCCCAAAAGCTTACAAAGTGGTGTCCGTCAGGGATGCCCACTCCATTCCTGTTTAACTTCGTGATCGATGGAATCATGAAACGAATGCTGGAGGTTCTCCAAACATCGGTGTTCAAATAGTCTTTGACGGAAGCCTTGTCGATCTAGAATATGAAGACGATATCCGTCTCATCTTCGAACGTGTTTTTGGATGTAGTGTGACAGATGAGATGAATGCATGAATCTATAAGGCTTAGGTCGCGTTTGCTAATTTGAAACACCTATGGCGTCAAAGTCGTGCATCCCTGAATTTCAAGGGACGTGTATGTCAAGCCACAGTGCGGGTTGTTTTTTGTATGGCTGTGAGACTTGGCCTGTTCGGGCAGCGGAACTGAGATGTCTTCAGGTATTTTACAATCGTTGTCTTAGAACCATAGCTCTTGGCGGTTGGTGTCGGCGAATTTGTAATGAGGCAATTATAAAACGCGTTTTCAGTTGTGCAACGGGTACGTGCATTGAAGAACGTGTCCAGCACCAGAAGCTGCGTTGGTTGGGATATGTGTTGCGTATGCCTAACCATCGCTTGCCGAAGAGAGTGCTGTTTTCCATGCCCTACGAGCCACTGATGTGGCTCTCTTTGATAGTGATTATCATGATCTTGTAACCTGGAAACATATTCCCTTGGCCTGACGAAGCTTTCGCATTAGAAGCGAAACGGTATCTAAACGATAAATCCTCCCATTGCCCACCTTACCTCTGAAACGATGGTTACTCATTGGTTTCCAATCATCGTCTGATTGATTAGAACTTGTTTGCCTGACATGTGCACCCCGGTCTCAGATATTTGTTCTCTGAATCATCCTGTTGCTAGTGCCCATCTCTTTACTCCCATTCTCAAGGACCAGCAGACCAGTTTGCCGCCAGTCACCGTCAGCTATAATATTTACGTTTACCTCGGCCATTACGGTCGTAGACATTTCGAAGTCACTAAACACCTACACTCAGTTCAACTGACTCTTCTAGTTCCCACCCTGAAACAAACTCGACAGCAGGTTGCACTGGTTAGTACGCGGGACTCGCTTTCTATTTATGTGTGCTGTCTGTCTGGGACGATAATTCATAATCCAAGTACGGCTGTTGAAGTGGTCCCTCCATCTGTTTCTTCTCGCTTTGGTTGTGCACCTCTGGTGATCCAAAAGTTTTCCCCGGTGTCGTTTTAAGTCATTGTGTAGAAGGGTCTTTGCTTAAGTGGTTGTTCCTCGGTGGCTATATGGGTGTGGTCCTTTTGACTGTGGCTGAAGCATCCCGTAAACGCGCTGGTGATGACTGCCTGTTTATTGTATCTGTTTGTCACAGGGGAATAGCTAGAATTCTTTCGAAGCCGCTCTTTGAGCACCTTTTTACGGCGGACTGAAAAATCACTTACTGTGATTACCTGGTATACGGACGCTCGAAGATGCTGAATTAGTGCTCATTTGGAAATTCACATTGAACTATAATCGGGACACGGACAAAGTTTAACGTGTACTGCAGTTATGCTTTGACCATACACCTTTTGTGGAGTACTAAAATTAAGATAATAAAGAACAAATCGGTCAGCTGCATAACCGTTTCGGTGCCTAGTTGCCATGCCACTCGAAGGAAGCACGCAGGCTGTAATGCTGCCAGGTTGTCCAAGTCTAGAAGGAGGAGGTACTGAGAACTAGCTTCTGACATAACCCAAGCCACTTGGCCGCGTGGTACTTTCCACGTGCAATCCAGCGTCAAACGCAGACCGCATCATCGTCAGTCACAGATGGTGTGGATCACTCCTGATTCATACTCGCTCCGTGGTATGAATTCATTGGTGATTCCGACCACGCGCTTGTCCGGTGTCGGCTACATTTGTGATTTTCTGAAGCATGCTTGACCATTGCAAAGCTCTCAGACCCTACTGTGAAACACTTATAGAAATCATCTGAATTCCCTTCCATGGAATACATCTGTTGTAGACTCTTACTGTACCATCGGCAACCCCTAGAGATACCCGGCACTCTGCTCGGGGTATCGCACTGGGACCTACGGAAACGGGCGAAAATAGTGCCAACTGGTACGTGCAGCAGACATAAGGAAGCCTCCGGTGAGTGAAACACAACGAAGAAAATGATCTCCGAAAAAGAACGCCTGGTTGAACACTCGGTAACAACTCAACTGACCGTCGCTCTTTGTTCATTCGTATTTGCGATCCGCATCATAGCCTTGGACAGTGAATTTGGGATCTCTGATGGCTTCGGAAGACCTCAGTCAGTGGTCGTCGAGCTCATTTGGCTCAGTCCGGGCGAAAAAGGCCCTTTCAGCTGGCGCACTTTCAAGCTGTGTTCGCAGTGCATGCAGCCGTCACAGTCATCAACTTGGCTTCCTTTGTAACTCTGTTTTGCACCGCTTATTCTGCGTCTTGCAGAAGCTCGTAAAGATATGACGCGAGGATAGCATCGGGGAAAGGGTTATGTGGACCACGTGTTCCTACTGCATCAAGTGTCAGAGCAAAGGCATGCATATAGGGGTTCCGCAATATTGTTTGACATCACGGGTGGGTTTGACTCTGTCCACTGATTCGTTCTCAACATGCTGGTACAACAGGGTAGTTCGTGAAGTTCGTGAGTATCATAGGTCTTTTCATTCGCAGTTAGGCACGGTTGTTACGGCTGAACGATTATTTATTTATTGTTGGGTGGAAACTTATCGAAATTCCCTTTCTACTCGCAAATTCTCCATAAAGTCTTGCCAACGAATGTTTTTTGTCACTAGACCTCCACTGCGCAATTGATTTCACATTCGCAGTTGCTGAATGTATGCTTCTGTTACTGAACACATTGTTTGGCCTTAATACTACATTTCTACAAGTCACAAACTAATC